TCTTATAAGGGTTTGAGTCAGTATTTATAGAAGCCATTAGAATCATGTCTGGCATATAGTAAGTGCCATATGTAAATGTTTGCTATGGTTCTATTTGAATTCCAATGCAAATGTATTATGGCTATGAAAATGGTAAGAGACTAACAAATGTTACCCTTGACTCAGTCTTGGGCCGTTCATGTGACTGAGCAGAGAGTGAAGTGGTCACATAAAGCAACACTATCTGCATGATAATCACAAGGTCACAAGACGTCCTTGTGCAACCAAGCACAGAACAATCAAAACTGCTCTGGTCAGGGGAAATGGGATTTCATCAGCCACTGGGAGATGGGGCAGAGTAAGGAAACCTGGACTGGGACTCTCTATAGGCCTGGGCCAGAGGTGACAAGCAGGATATTCTTGTGTATTCATTCCAGCCTGTCCTCTGAGATATATCTGAGCCAGGATGTCACCTTAGAATCCTTATCACATATTCCAGGCAGCACTACCAACTAATCTGGTTGGCACCTAAGAGGAAATCAATCAGCCATGCTTGGACAAGCTCTGCTAGTCTTAGGGTCTGGGGTTCTCCAAGGGTACTGTTAGAGGGGAGAAGGCAGGCTTGCAGCTTCCTACAAGGCAACCCTGTGGGAACTTGGTGCCTGCCATCAGAGCTCTCCTAGGCAACAGCCCCACACAAGCAAGCTCCCATGCTATATCTACATCAGCAGGGGTAAACTGCAGCACTGAGAGTTTAAAACTTACCTTTATCACATGCCTTCCAAAAGAAAATCCTGTAAATGTATTACTTTTTCTTAAAATCAGCCTGCTAAATGATTGAATTAATAGAGGAAAAGTGCCTAATTTAGAGAAATAAAATCTAGTTGCATTAAAACGACTGCTTCAGTTTTTCCAAAACAATGCATAAGTACATAATTCAGGCAAAACTTTGCTTATTTCCCATACCCCAAATATCCTTTACCCTTTTTTTCTCCTGTAGATATTGATCCCATGCAAATTCTTGAACAGGAATTATTATAGGATCTTCAAATCTGGATGGATAATTACTCTTCAAATTCTATGTTTCAAAATAGAATAATTATTTTAGAGTAGGTTCTCTTTTAAAGTAGAAATCATTATCCCACCCCCTTTTTTATAGTATCTCCAGAAAATTTTATACAACATACACACAGCTCTCACAGTCTTAGATGCCCCTTGTCAGCTCCCAGAAGCCCCTCTGCTTCCCTCCATTAAGTCCCTCCCCGGACCACACTTATTTGTCTCTGATCTGGAGAGAATAAGTTCCTTGAGGACAAAGAGGATGTCTTAGTATCCCACTGGCCTCAAGATCTGGCATATAGTGGACCATCCTCACATAACAACTGAATAAACAAATGAAAAAAATGAGTTTTGTGATCTACCATGTTCTTTTAGGATTAGTTTTTCCCTAAATTACGCTCTTACTAAACCTCAGTAGATCTTTGGATACTTTTGACAAAATGTTTTGAAGAAATTTATTGCTTTAATTCACTGACATATGACCAAAAGGATGACAGAGTGACCAAAAGGATATTGTTGTGCTCTACCCCTTGGGAAAAAGAGAAGTAAATATTAAATATGTTTTGGTCTAGATATTGAGCACGTATTGATTTAACATATTTTGTTTTGTCTGTGTGAATCTGAGAAAATTCTTACTGGTTAACAATCTCTGACCAAAAAAAAGTTTTGGTTCCTGATATGTTCCACTTTGCCTCCTCCTAAAGCAAGAGAAGGCAGCTGAGGCAATAGTAGTGAGGCCTCACTTTCCTGAGCAGGTATGAGAGTAAATAGGCCAACAGGGAAGTGTCAGCTGGCTGCTTCTGTCGTGGTCTAAGAGGACACTGGCCTGGCACACTTCATCAAGGATGAATATTCCAAAGGGGTAAAAGGCAGGATGTGAGTGTACCATGCCTGGGGACCAGGGGTAGCAGAACAGGGCAACAGCAATCTGGCCGTTTCCTTCTTAGACTGCTGTAGCCAACCCACAGCTGATGTGTCCTTTTTCTCAATTCCAGTGTCTGTGCTCTGTCTCAGCTGGTCATGCAGGATGACTGCTGTTTCTCACTGAGGGACTACTTGGCATAAAAACTAATAAGCCCAATAGTTTTGGAATTAAGGCTACTTAATCATACTTTCTTCATAATATAGTGTCTGTTTCAGAATGGACTACATCCAAATTAGAATATATGTAATACTTACCCTATAAATCTAAATCTTTGTCAGTTAATTAAGGCACAGGGATTGCTCACAAATGATCATGTTGGGAATATATTCAAGGATCCTTTACTAAGATAGAACTGATGTGACACTGACACGTTTTCATATTCAAACAGAGGTATAGTAGGCAAAAGCTTAAGAAAGTGAAAATTAACATTACTAATTGTTTTCTTAACCTAACGTCCTCTGCAACAGGGGTTGGCGAGCTGTGGCCAGCAAGTCACATCTGGACCACTGCCTGTTTTTGTAAGACTTGAGAGCTAAGAATAATTTTTAGAGTTTTAAACAGTTGAAAAAAATCATGTCATGTGAAGTTACATGCAAGTCAAATTTCAGTGTCCATAATACATTTTTATTGGAAAACCACCGTTCATTTATATACTGTCTATAGCTGCTTTTAGCACAAGGGCAGAGTTTAGTAGTGACTAAGAGCCTATGGCCCCGAAGGCGTAATAACTTTTTATGTAGACGACTTTACAGAAAAAAATTTGCCAACATCTCTACAGTGTGGAGAACATGTGCCTTCAGAAAAGGAGCTAAGAAAAACAAAAGACAAAAAGAAAAAATCCCTTAAACTCATTAAACACAACCTGGGTCTTAAAACTTTGCTGATCCTATCAGCCTAGCTAACACAGTCCATAATTTCTACTTCTTTTGATGATCCATGTATCCTTTTCACAGACTGAACACTGTTCTCTCCATTTTGATGTAAGTTTTATCTACTTCACAAATTAGTTACTATTTCCTGAATTTATATAAATACAAACTTTAACTCTGTGAACTTAGACAGGCAAGAGGATAGGAATTTCTTAAGATTTCTTCTATTTGGGAACATTTTGTGTCAAGTATCCAGCTGGGTACTTTGGGAGATACGAACATGAATAAGACATTTTCCTGGAATCTGGTAGGGTTTTGAAGGAGAGAAGCTTGGCACAATCTTACCGTCCCATTGCTGTAGCAAACCCCAAAGACGTGCTGAATTCTACATTTCAACATTTCATACATTTCTGCATTTTTCCAGCATTAGGGTTATAAGTGTGCTGCAGCATTACTGACCTGGCCAAATTCTTCCCGTTAAAGTGTTTTTCCTTAACTCTTTTAAGCACCTATTCGATTATAATGCGGTGGCTGCTATGGGAAATTTAAAGAAAAAAAACCCTCCCAAATGAATAGTTTTCAAAAATTACTTGGGGAGGGAGTTTGTAAAAAAAAAATCAGCTAGTTATATGGCAACATTTTTTCCCAAGAAGTTGTAAAATCTATAATTTTAATTAAAAATTAATGTGGAATAAAATCTGTGGTAATGTAGAGGGAGGAATCACTTTTATTCCCACGAAGGTTTTTATGCTTCCTTTGCTCGGATCGCCCTTTAAAGGTAGCCCTTCTCGAAGGGAAAACTCCCGCCCGGACCGGCACTTGTTCCCTGCACGCTTGGATCCACCGAGAAGTAGCCCACCTCAGCCGGGACCGCCTCCCTGAACAGCAACTCCCGCTACCGGAAGGCGAAAAACCCGGAAGCGGGAAGGGCAGCCCGCATTTGTGGTTTCTTCACGGTTACCTCAGCGGCGCTCTTCGCAATCTGAAAGCTGGAGCTTTTGAAGAGCCCCACTACCTTCACCTGCAGCGGCTGCTCGGGCGGCGACTGCGAGCTGCACGGGACCGATTGCTGTGTGCTCGCCATGGCGGCGCGCGGGGACTCCTCCGACCACAAACAGTGCGCGTCGCCGGGGTAACCGCGCTGCCCCGCCCCCGCCGCCGTCAAGGAGGAGGGGCCGAGGGGCGGGCCGAGGGGCGAGAAGGGCGGCGAAGGCCCGGCTTTTC